GCTACCACACCCGGCTCATTTTTGATTTATTGTAGAGATGAGGTCTCGCCAAGTTGCCCAGGCGGGTCTCGAACCCGCCTCCCAAGGCGCGGGATTACAGGCTGAGCCACTGAGCCTGGCTTCAGACTTTAATTATATCATGAAACTTGGAATTGAAAAGGACTCTAGACCTTGTCATGCAGTTCAACTGCCCCACCAGAGCAAGAATTCCCTCTAGATGGCCATCCAGCCTCTACTGGATGAATACTCCAGGGCTGGGGAGCTCACTCAACTGCAAGCAGTCTGCTCTACTGTATGATGGTTCTCTCTCCACCCGCCCCCCTTTCATGAAAAGATACGTTGTCAAAAGACACTGGCTGGGCATAGTGGTTCATGCCTGTAATTCTAACATTTTGGGAGGCCAAGGTGGGAGAATTGCTTGAGGCCAGGAGTTTGAAACTAGCCTGGTCAACATGGCAAGGCCTCCATCCTCACCAAAAAAAATTGTTTTAATTAGCTGGGCATGATGGTATATGCCTGTAGTCCTAGCTACTTGGGAGACTGACATGGGAAGATCAGGAGTCCAAGGTTCCAGCCTAAGCAACAGAGAGAGACACACTCTCTCTCTCTTTTTTTTTTAGTTGGGGTCTCACTCTGTCACCCAGGCTAGAGTGCAGTGGCATGATCATGGCTTAAAATAGCCTCAACCTCCTGGGCTCAGGTAATCCTTCTGCCTCAGTCTCTCGAGTAGCTGGGACTACAGGTGCGTGCCACCAAACCCAGCTATTCAAATAAATTTTTTTTTGTAGAGATGAAGTCTTTCTATGTTGACCAGGCTGGTCTCGAACTCCTGGGCTCAAGCAATCCTCCCGCCTCAGTCTCTCAAAGTGCTGGGATTACAGGTATGAACCACCATGCCCAGCCAGTGACTGTCTCTCTAAAAAATAATAATTATAATAAAACATTTTTAAAAAGATACATCCTCAGATTTCATTGCAGAGAGACAGAGGGTGACTCCCGCAAATTGTCCTTTGCCAATCCTGCACCCACAGACTGGAAACTGAAGTCTCAAGATGCCTCTCCAAACCCTGTGCAATCTGACTCAGTCCCACTTACTTGTTTTGTAATCATAGGCAAATTATGTCACCTCATTTCGTCTTCATTTCTTCATGTGGAAATGAGACAAAAATTCCAACCTCACAGGTTGTGGAGATTAAACAAGATAATGCATGTAAATACATCTGGCCTACAACAACTACTACCTGGTGTGAATGGAGAGTCATATCAGATGAATGCTAGCCTAACTGGAATAAAGTAGGCTAGACTAGAGGCATCATGGTTGAGATTAACTTGGAGTAGTGCACGTAAGGGAAAAAAACAAGGGTCTTCAGAGAATAGCGAGCCTTTGGGAAGGATGTATGGGCAGGAAAAGAAAATTGTTGGCTGAATTTTAAAGTATACATTTAAATGTTGCAAGTCCAGGGAGAAGAGAGGAGGGCCACCTAGTAGAGGCTCAATTTGACATAGAAGGTAATTGGTAATCATTCCTGGTTTTCTAGAAGTAGAATAACAGGCTCACAGCAACAGGTCTTCAAAGAGAGTACCTGCTGCTCTGTGAGGGTTAGACTGGAAGCAAAAGGGCAGACCAGGTGACAGGTGGATTCAGTCATAGAGGACTGATCTTTGACAACCGGGATTTTTCAGTTCTACTATTTTTCAGTTTTTAGCTTTGTTTTGTCTCATTCTGGGCTGGCATATCTAGCAGCCATAAGGATTCCTGGTCTATGGAGCCCTATACTTATTCTACTACATTGTTTCTAACCTATAATGGACTAAAAATCAGACAACTGATTTTTAGTCCTCATTTATTCACTCACTCATTCATTCATGAATATTCATCTATCCATCAAATAGCAACAACAAATATTGACTTGACTAGGCTCTGGAATAATTTGACTATGAAGAAGACATAGTCATTGCCTTTAAAGGATGTATAGACTTCTGAGATAAACAGATACAAAAGTAACTCTCACACTTGATAGTTACCACAAGAGAGGAATGAACAACTCTGTGCCAAGGGTTGAAAACCAAGAAAATCATGCTGCATTTGGCCAGCAAATGTTTCGTTTGGCCCACATGGTGTTTTATTTTGTTTTTTTAGATTAGGTGCCAACATTTAAAAATTAGGACATCTCACATTAAAACCCAGATTCCTAGCTTCTGGTAAAAATATGAAGATCTGAGCACACTAGGCCAAATTCCTGCATGGTGGTAACTGGCAGGAGCTGCGCACAGTTGCCTCTCTAAGGCAAAGCATGAGCTCCCCGTTCCCCAAACTCCTTGCTACTCTTTATTATGGACAATGAAGCCAAATGTTCAGTTGCCGGTTATCATCAGCTTGTGCTATGGATACTTTTCCAACAGAGTTAAGAGAAAAGTAAAATGATTTATTTTAACTCAAATTTCTATCGAAAGTAGAAATGAAAGATGCACTGGTAGGGCTATGTGTTTCAGGAGAAATGGGATACAGAATAGAAAAATATTCATTTGGAAAAGAGATACTTTCTTGTGTTTAATATGCAAATAAACATGTCTCACTTATGTTCCCTGCCTGACTCCTGCAGATATTTCAGTTTTCCACCTCTATAACTCAGGGAAAAGATTAACGCAGTGACTGAGAGCATTGGCTTTGGAGGGAGGAAGACCTGAGCTTGAAAGCTGGCTGTACCATTCACTCGCTGCGTGACCCTGGCAAATTATCTACCCTCTCTGTGCTTCAGTATCCTCATATGTAAATTAGAGTCATTATAGTATCTACCTCAGAGGGTTGTTGTGATGAACTATGAGATAAAGAATATAAAGTTCTTAGCCAGTGCCTGGCGCATGGTAAGCCGTTAGCTATCACTAGGGCTGAACACAGAAGAGAGAGAAACCATCTGCTAAGAGAGCCTTACAGGATGCTTAGGATTTCAGTATGAGGAGATGAGGAAAGAAGGCTTTACACACAAAAAGGTCTCAGAAAAGGCAGAGAAGGAAAAGAAAGTGTCTTAGTGGCCAAAACAGGCTTCACAATGATGCTGGAAAGATCATCTAGGAAGTTTTTGAAAGCCAGGCTGCAGATGTGACGGATTTAGAAGACAGAAAAGAATAGGACGTTCAGTCACTGAATCATACAGTGAGAAAGTGATTCCCCTTCAATTCTTTTTCAGACTTTCTGATTAGGAGAGTCTTGGTTTGACACTCACTGTAAGCACCTCTCTGACCACACTTGGAAATCTCTAGTTTTAGGGACAGTCGACCTCAGGCTTACAGGCTCCCTAGCAACAGCATCTAGCTACAACTTAGTCACAGCTTTGTTCTCCCTGCTTTAAGTTCTACAATTATCTTACACCACAGCAGGCGATACTGATTTTCATAAACAGAGTAAAAAGTTTCCTTGTAAAACGGGAACTCGTATTCGAGCGAACACAAGTGAGACAATTTATAGAAAAACAACAAGTAAACAGGCATGGGTAATACGTGGATGTGGCAAACGCTGTTTAGTCTGAGCAGCAGGGTGATGAGTGTCAGACGACAGCCCAGGACGAATTCCGAGTCGGGGGCCAACAAGACCAGGCCGCGATTACGCGTGGCGCCGCCTCAACAGGCCACCACCCCGCCGCGCGTGGCACTTCTTTGCTCCGTCTCCAGCGCTCAGGGCGGTCTCCATCCGGCAAGGGATGGAACGGCGGCCTTGCAGTCCCCCAGGCCCGGGGTTCACCGTCCCCGGCCCGGGCCGCAGGACCGTTGCCCCTGGCAACCACGGTGCTGCGGCTCCCGCCATCCCCGCCGGGCCGGCCCCCAGTTCCTCCCACAGCCCCGCTCCTCACCACTGCTCGTCTTTATCTCTCCACGTCAACACGGCCCTCATCGCAGTTTCGCTCACGCCTCGAGCCCCTCCTCCCTGCCTCGGGCACCGTCTTCAGCCCGCCAGCTACCTAGGCTGCCCGCGCTGCCCCTGGCAACGCACAGGCGCAGTGAGCGCGCGCGCGCAGGCGCCTAGCTCCGAGTGCGCAAGTCTAAACCGGAAGGCGAGAAAAGGAGCCAGCGCGAGGGCGCCCAGAAGGCTTCCGCGTAATGAGAACGCGTGCGATTGGCCGGGCGAGTTGGGGCGGGGGGCGGTTCGCTTCCTCGACAACGGATTTGATTGGTGCAGCTTGGAAATGGCAGCTGTAGCCCAGGGGGCAGCCGGAAAGCAGCCGCGAAGGGAGGCCGACACTCGCTGCCTGGAGACTTTGGTTCCAGCGTGGCTGTTTGAGCCGAAGACGTTTTTGCATCGTATCCCGCTCTCCACCCAGGCTGTCGCAACTCGGGTTGTTGCTGTGGCCGAAGTTTTCTTGAGGGACATGGCCGGAATGCAGAGTCCGAGCTGGGGGGACCGCGAAGTTACCTCTGCAGTCACCTCTAGCGAGCACCTGATCCCAGACCGGTCGTGTGGCCTCCGGCAAGTCATTGTGCGCTTTTGAGCTTCAGTTTTACCACCTGTAAATCGGGGGTGAGGGAGTAGACGGTGTGTGGGGCTTACTAACTTCGACAAGGTCGACAGAGTCCTTGAGGCCCACAGGTTTAGTTGCTCAGGAACTCTTCCTGTGGAATCAGCCCAGCGGTGCGCCCGACTTCTTAACCCGAAATTACTAGGGCACTGGGAGGAGCAGGGAGGTTTTGTGGTACAAGGAGAGGTCGGCTTGGTGGAGGATCCTAGGAAGACCTTGGAAGAGAGGGCATGTCAGTAGCCAGGGGCGCCCCAAAAGTGGGTTCTATGAGAAGTAACAGGAGAAGCTAAAGTCATTTGTTGTATACTTGTATATATATAATATGAGGTCAGGATAATTTACATCCTTTTTTCAAAATTTAATCATCAGAGTACCTTAAAGGAGGTATTGCCTTGTTTTTACAGAAGAAAAAAGACTTTGAGAGGTTATGTAACTTGTTCTGGATGTACTGCTGGTAAATGGCAGAACTGGGATTTGGGCCCAGTCTGTTGACTTCAGAGCTTGTGCTAATTTCACCAGGTTGCAGTTTCCTTATCTCTAACATTGTAAACTGTATCATTTCATAGGATACATCCAACTCCCATCAGAAGACCTTGATGCAGATTCTAGTCACTAATTCTTGCTTAGTTTCCCTATTATTAGAAAAGAAGTTGAGTTAGATGATCTCTCTAGACCCATCCACCTTTTAAAATTTGTGAATAATGGTATGGGGGAGAAATATTAGACCAAGAGTTGGTAGATCTGGGATCTCTAAGTAATTTAACTTAGCCTTTCTGTCACAAAGTTTATCAATAAATTGAGAGTGAACCTTCTCCTACCTACCTCACAAGATTATCATGAGGATCAGAAATGAAGGAGATTTGAAAATTCTGTATCAGAAATGATTTATCTTTTGGAGGGTTTCAACATCTGATGAAAGTGACAGACTCGCTCCCCTAGAAAAATACACATGTATGTACAATTTTTAACTCACTTATTTGCAGAGGAGGAAGGGTAACTCACTGATTTATTTAATCATTTCTTGTTGATCCCACGTTAAAAGCTCATATTCTTAAATTAATCCTGTGTCGCTAGAAATTTTTATAATATCCCTATTTGATAGTTAATCCAAAAAGTATCTAGCTTGAGCTTTTCATTGTGCAGAGATTTCCACAGACAAGACCGGTCCATACTGACTTGAATCTCCCCCATTTTAATCTGAATAATCTATATAGTTCCCTCACTGTCTTGGATTAAGATTGAATACGCAGTAAGAAAATGTTAAATGAGTTAATGACTTACACTTTTTTTTCCAGTGAGGAAGATGTAGAGTTGCAAAGAGAGAGAGAAGATGAGAAACAAATGATAAAAAGCAGCAGTGAGTGTAATCCCCTGCTGCAAGAAACCCTTGCTTCTGCTCAGCTTGGTGGTGCTGCATTGATGGAATGCCATAAATCTGTCCCGTGTGGATGGGAAAGAGTTGTGAAGCAAAGGTTATCTGGGAAAACAGCAGGAAGATTAGATGTATACTTTATCAGGTAAGCATGCAGGGTGGTAAAGATAGTACAGTCAAGTAATTTTGTCTAGACAAGTAGTGGGAGAGCATAGCAGGAATCTTGGCTTATTTATATTTTTACTGTAAAAGAGTCTATTTCAGCTGGACTTGGTGGCTCATCCTGTAATGCCAGCACTTTGGGAGACCGAAGTGAGTAGATTGCCTGAGCAATGTTTGAGACCAACCCGGGCAACCTGGTGAGACCTCGTCTCTACAATAAATCAAAAAATGAGCGGGGTGTGGTAGCATGCACCTGTAGTTCCGGCTCCTTGGAAGGCTGAGGCGGAAGGATTACTAGAGCCCAGCAGGCTGACACTGGGGTGGCCGTGAATGTGCTATTGCACTCTAGCTTGGGGGACGGAGTGAGACTCCAGCTCAAAAAAAAAAAAAAAGAATCTATTTCTTCAGTGTCACTGGTTAATTATATCAAATGATTTGGGGACAATTACATATATTTTGTTCCACCTACTGTGGTTAATGGAAAGGCGAGCTGGGCTCAGTGGCTCAGCCTGTAATCCCGCACCTTTGGGAGGCTGAGGTGAGAGGATTGCCTGAGCCCGCCGGTTCAAGACCCGCCTGGGCAGCGAGACCTCATCTCTACAATAAATCAAAAAATCAGCTGGGCGTGGTAGCGCATGCCTGTAATTCCGGCTACTCGGAAGGCTGAGGCGGAAGGATCGCCAGAGCCCAGCAGGTTGAGGCTCCCGGCCACCGCACTCCAGTCTGGGTGACAGAGTGAGACTCCAACTAAAAAAAAAAAGGAAAGGTGTTATTTAGGTTATATTTGTAAACTTATTTTATACTTTCATAGAGGAAGCATTTGAAAGTGCCATACCTCACTTTTTTATTTTTAAATGACGGGTGCCCATGGTAACATTTGGAGATTATTAATTAGAGATATGAAATGTGGTCCAATTCTTTTAAAAAATCATTTCTATTTACTAGCAGTAAGTTTCCTTTAATATCATTTTCTAGCCCACAAGGACGGAGGTTCACATCCAAACGTTCACTTGCTAAATATCTTCACAAAAATGGAGAGACTTCCCTTAAGCCAGAAGACTTTGATTTTACTGTACTTTCTAAAAGGGGCATGAAGTCAAGATATAAAGACTGCAGTGTGGCAACTTTGTCATCCCAGCTGCAAAATGAAAGTAACAATTCAACCTTGAACCTCAGGACACGAAGCAGGTGGAAAAAAGATATGTTTCCTCTACCAAGTAGTAGTTTAGAGTTGCAGGATAGCAGAGGACTGTCTGACTTGACTTCCAATCATTTATTTTTGAAAGAAGATGAGGATGTGAATGATGTTAACTTCAGAAAGTCTAGAAAGCCCCAAAGAAAAGTGACTATTTTGAAAGAAACTCCAGTTAAGAAGACCAAAAAAGGGTGTGGGAAGAGTCTTTCGGATTCCGTTCAAAGTAATAGAAAAAGAAAATTTGTGGATAACAGAGCAGACGCTGAGATTGAGCCTACTGCACAGGAAAATCCGCTTGAGAGAACTTCCTGCATTTCTGATGCCAGAGCAATTGACAAGACTCTCAATATGACCAGTGAAGAAAAGAGCCTTGTGAAAGAAAAATCACTGAGTTCAGGATCAAATTTTTGTTTTGAGCAAATAACTTCTGGCATCGTAAACAATATATGTCTAAACAAAGAAGCAGAACACAGTGAGAAGCATGAGGATACCTTTTTAGAATCTAGGGAAGTCACAACAAAAGTAGAAGTTGGGGAAAGGAAGGAACGTTTGCATACTGACATTTTAAAATGCATCTCTGAGATGGACAACAACTACTCACCAAGCAAGAAAGATTTTACTGCTGAGAAAACTTTTCAAGGTATTCAATGCTTTCAGGCCCAATTAAACATGTGATAAGGGGTTCATACTCCAATATCTGGTGGTTCATGCCTATACTTAGTTAAGATGTGGGAGTAAAGCCAAGAAATTAGGTCAGATACCATATACTTTTTTTTTTTTAAGTTGGAGTCTCACTCCGTCGCCCAGGCTGGAGTGTAGTGGCACGCTCATGGCCACCCCAGCGTCGAACTGCTGGGCTCAGGTGATCTTTCCGCCTCAGCTTTCCAAGCAGCCGGAATTACAGGCATACCCGGCCACCAGATACGTTTTACCAGTTGATCCTAATACCTTGCCTAACTGATGTTGGAGCTGTCTAACTGATCTTCAGGCTCTTCCGTGACTGCTATCAGTGGCCATCATCTTTCTCTGGTGCAGTAGCTGGGATTCTCCCACTCATCAGCTTTCCCTTCTCCCATCCTCTTTCCAGCCAGTAATTTTAAGATTTTAAGAAGGCCGGGCACAGTGGCTCAAGCCTGTAATCTCAGCACTTTGGGAGGCCAAGGCGAGAGGATTGCCTGAGCCCACGGGTTTGAGACCAGCCTGGGCAACATGGTGAGACCTCATCTCTACAATAAATAAAAAATTAGCTGGGTGTGGTAGCAGGCACTTGTAGTTTCGGCTGCTTGGAAGACTGAGACGGAAGGATCACCAAAGCCCAGCAGGTCAACACTGGAGTGGCCTTGAGCATGCCACTGCACTCCAGCCTGGGCAATGGAGTGAGACTCCAACTAAAGAAAAAGATAGCCGGGCTTGGTGGCTCAGCCTGGAATCCCATGCTTTGGGAGGCTGAGGTGAGTGGATTGCCTGAGCCCGTGGGTTCGAGACCCGCCTGGGCAACTTGGCGAGACCTCATCACTACAATAAATCAAAAAAATTAGCCGGCGTGGTAGCGCGTGCCTGTAGTTCCAGCTACTTGGAAGGCTGAGGCGGAAGGATTGCTGGAGCCCAGCAGGTCGAGGGCGACAGAGTGAGACTCCAACTCAAAAAAAAAAAAAAGAAAGATTTTATGGAAAATTAAAAGGCTTCAGTTGTGAGGCCAGGCACGGTGGCTCACGCCTGTAATTTCAGCACTTTGGGAGACTGAGGTGAGAGGATTGCGGGTTTGAGAACAGCCTGGACAACTTTGCAAGACCTCGTCTCCATAATAAATCAAAAAATTAACTTGGCGTGGTGGCACACGCCTGTAGTTCCAGCTACTTGGAAGACTGAGTCGGAAGGATTACCTGGGCCCAGCAGGTCGAGGCTGTAGTGGCCATGAGCGTGCCGCTGCACTCCAGACTGGGCAACAGTGAAACTCTGACTCAAAAAAAAAAAAGTCCTCAGTTGTGAAAAATTTGGGGAAGGCTCTTTTTATACATAAACTGGTTGAGAACAGTTGGTGTCTTCTCTTTACACCCCTCTGGGAACTTATGAATGTGTGACTTCCAATTTAATTCTTTATATATCATAGTCATTTTAATCTTCTATTATAATGTAATGCTTCTCTAAAGTGCTTTAGAACTCTAAATAATTCAGAAGTGTAATCACATAGTTCATCAATTATTTGTAATACGCTCTTAATACAGATTTCAGTGCTTAGCAGTTTTGCCTTTATAATACCTCAGTGAATAAGAGAAAAAAAGGAGACCTTTTGAGCAGGCCTGTATTAGTTATTCATTATGCCATTATGGTATAATGAATAACTCCTTTAAAAAAGAATAGTAATTTGACTTAAAATCCTGCAGGGAAACAGCCTAAGCAGATCGGTGGAGCAGGGGATTAGTCTTGATTCCTGCCTCCAATCCTACACATGATTTTATGTCTTTTTGTGCCTGCAGTTTCTCTGCCTTTAACAGAAGATGGTCATGTATGCCTAGGAACAGCATAAGAATTCTTCAAGTCTGTCCTTTCAAGATTTTGGGCTTCTTAAAGAAAGACAGGCGGTTTATGTAGCTTTATTGCTAGCTTAATGGGCAAATGAAATATTAAAAACATCCTTTTGTGACGAAGATGAAAGTATCCTATGAATCCTATACTTAAAGAAGTCTAGGTCTTAACATAAGATGAAGTACCCTTAGGTTACTAGGTGTTCAGTGGCATAGTGAAGACTCCCATTGACTTAGCTAGAAATTACAAAGCAAACTAGTAGTAGAGGAGGGTAGTTAGTAATTATTTATAGGAGCCTGCAGAAAAAGTTGCCAAATAGCTAGTAAGAGCAGTTTTCTTTGTTCTAATTCTTTTTTTACTCTCTACTGGGCTTTATGTATTAAAACTAGAATAGCCCGAAGCCGTATACTAATTATTGGGACACTTGAATACTTGTCCTAGTCTAAAGTCAATTCCAGTGTCATTTTGGGACAGTTGCTTAATTTTGAACCCTTAGTTTCTTCATCTGTAAAATAGAGGTAGTAACCCTCGTAGTCCTGTTTTCACATAAAAAATGTTATAAGCTAAAATGAGAAGTGAAAAAGAGTACTTGGGGCTACACAGATGCAAGGTATTATTAACTGACATTCAAATTTAGAGGGCACGGCTAAAGGGAGTATTCAATGTGATGGATTTAGAAATTTGAGAAGTCTGTTAATACTGGTTCCCAATAAATAGAGCTTCCCAGTAGATAATGACCTCAGGTACTCCGGGGTTCAAATCTTAGGTTTTTCTACAGGTTCTAATTTGTCTGTATCACTTTTTTTGGTAAGTGTGAAAGTATCCACTGCAGAAATTTAGGAAAACACAAAATTAAAGGAGAAAAGAAAAAGTACCACCCAGCAACAACCATTATATCATTTTGGCGTATTTCATTTTATCTCTGTATTTTTATTTATATGTATTTCCTTTTTTTAAAAATAAAATCAGTGTTGCCAGGATTACACTAGAGAGGGAGTAGGGGGGTAGTGAGAGAAAGAAAGAAAGAAAGAGCAAGCATGCAAGCAAGCTGGGCTTGGTGGTTTTTACCTGTAGTCCCAGCTACTTGGAAGACTGAGGTGGGAGGACCACTTGAGCCCAGGAGTTTGAGGATGCAGTGAGTTATAATCACAACCCTGCACTCCAGGCTAGGTGACAGAGCAAGACCCTGTCTCTAAAAAAATTTTTAAAAAGAAATTGAGATCACATGTAGAATCTTGCTTTTGTCATTTAGAAGTTGATGTCATGGGAAAATACCCATAACAGAATCTCAAAAATTTCTTAAAAACATATTAATGACCACATTTTACAAATGTGTCACAATTTAAAATATTCTATACTGTTTTTAATTTTTCATACTATGAACTCTGAACATAAATCATAACTTGTGTAACCAAGGGGTTAAAGGTGTGGACTTAGGAGTGAGACTTCCTGGATTCGAATTTTAGCTCTGTCACTTAGTAGTTGTGTGACCTTGGGAATGTTACTTAGCTTCTCTGTGCCTCAATTTCCTTATCTGTAAAGTGGAGACAAAATAGAATCAAACTCATAGTTCATTAGTAATTGGCTTACTTATGTAAAGGACTTAGAATAGTGCCTGGCATACTCTACAATAGTGGTGATATTATTTGCATCCCTGAATATTTATTTAATCTAAACCATACATTCTGTGAACGGTATTCACTTTTACTTTTCAGAAGATACCATCCCACGAACACAAATAGAAAAAAGGAAAACGAGCCTGTATTTTTCCAGCAAATACAACAAAGAAGGTATCTCTTTCCGAATCAGAACATCACACTTTAAATCTATCTCATGTTTTCAACGCTGATGGAGTATGTTTATTTAGTTCTTAGCCCCCCACGACGCAAAGCCTTTAAGAAGTGGACACCTCCTCGGTCACCTTTTAATCTTGTTCAAGAAACACTTTTTCACGATCCATGGAAGCTCCTTATTGCAACTATATTTCTCAATCGGACCTCAGGTTTGTAGATTATTTTCATCTTTGTCTTAGTAGATAGTATGGTAAGGAGACCGCGTTGAATTTATTGGGTCCACGGTCCATTCTGAGACTGTGTGACCTGGAGTAAGATCTTCCCTTTTCTGCCTTTGAATTCTTCACCTATGAGAAAGTTAGACTAGGTTGACATTCAACAGTCATTGATTGACTATTGTAGCATCAAGGGGTAGATTTTCATTTATTTTCTACTTCCAAATTAGTTTGGTCATCAGTGAAATTCAGTTAATATTTCTCTGCCTTCTATTGTATGTATATAAAAGTTCTGTTTTCACTGAGTGCACTTTGTGTTCCATATGCTTCTACTCTGGCTATCTGGTGATCTGATTTCTTAAAATTAATATCATGCAAGGCATGATATTATCATAATTTGGAGTATTAGCTCAACAGATTAGCAGTGTTGATATTTGACTCTGAAAGTAGTTGCTGGTTCAGGTAATGGCTTCTCTTCAGTGGTTTAAAAGACCAAATAAGCAAAAAATTCCTCTGGATGAGATTTCTAGATGAGAAACTACCTGAACCTAAAATCAGCCCACTGAGATCATACAGTTATATTTATTTCCCAGGCAAAATGGCAATACCTGTGCTTTGGGAGTTTCTGGAGAAGTACCCATCAGCTGAGGTAGCCAGAACTGCAGACTGGAGAGACGTGTCAGAACTTCTTAAACCTCTTGGTCTCTATGATCTTCGAGCAAAAACTATTATCAAATTTTCAGGTACCTTCCCATACACCCAAAGGAAAAAACATAAATTGTGCCTATTTAAGACAGCCACATCTTAAAGTTGAATGTCCTCTGATGCTGCATTAATGGAGGTTATTCAGTGCACACACCAAAGATTTTTTTTTTTTTTTTTTTTTTTTGAGTTGGTGTCTCACTCTGTCGCCCAGACTGGAGTGCAGTGGCCGCTCCCGGCCACCGCAGCCTCGACCTGCTGGGCTCCAGCAATCCTTCTGCCTCAGCCTTACAAGTAGCCGGAATTATAGGCATGCGCTACCACGCCTGGCTGATTTTTTGATTTATTGTGGAGATGAGGTCTCGCTGCCCAGGTGGGTCTCAAACCCGCGGGCTCAGGCGATTCACTCACCTCAGCCTCCCAAAGACGCGGGATTACAGGCTGAGCCACCGAGTCCGGACCAAAGATATTTAAAAACAGTCAGCTTTCCCCAAACCAGAGTGTCACAGTGACCCAGGCAATAAATCTTTGCCCACCACTGGGTTGGGCTATGTGGGCAGAATTAGGGGGAGAAGTCAGTGAAGCAGAAAACCCAGTCCTTGATCTCTAGGACATTACATCTGTCTGGTTATAGTTAGCATAACATAGAGGTTAGGAGGTGGCAGATAATAAGGGGACTGTGGAAATTCAGGAGGAGGAGCAGCCACAGGTGGAGTTGTTAGGAAAGAGCCTTTCCTGCCCTTCCTGCTGTTCTCTCCATCCTGCCGCACCGTGACCCCACATTTAGGGAAGGTTTTTTGTTTTTTGTGTAAGAGTCTCACTCTGTTGCCCAGGCTGGAGTTCAGTGGCACACTCACGGCCACCACAGCCTTGACCTGCTGGGCTCAGGGGATCTTAATACCTCGGCCTTCCAAGTAGCTGGAACCACAGACACGCACTACCATGCCTGAATAATTTTTTGATTTATTGTAGCGACGAGGCCTCGGCAAGTTGCCCAGGCTGGTCTTGAATTCGTGGACTCAGGCAGTCCTCTCACCTCCGCCTCCCAAAGTACTGGGATTGTAGGCTTGAGCTACCGCACCCAGCCAGGAATGGTATCTTTCTAGAGGCTGAACTGATATGTGCGATGTTGTGTTCTTCAGATGAGTATCTGACAAAGCAGTGGAAATATCCGATTGAGCTTCATGGGATTGGCAAATACGGCAACGACTCTTACCGAATTTTCTGCGTCAATGAGTGGAAGCAGGTGAGGCCCACTCCCAGCCATAACATAGTCAGCACATTTAGTCTCTGAGGCAAAATAAGTCCACCATTATGGCTAAAATGATTTCTTGGACAAAAATGCTAGCTGGGCTCGGTGGCTCAGCCTGTAATTCCGCACCTTTGGGAGGCTGAGGTGAGAGGATTTGCCTGAGCCCGTGGGTTTGAGACCCGCCTGGGCAGGCAAGACCTCATCTCTACAATAAATCAAAAAATCAGCCGGGCGTGGTAGCGCATACCTGTAATTCCGGCTACTCGGAAGGCTGAGGCGGAAGGATCGCCGGAGCCCAGCAGGTTGAGGCTGCGGTGGCCGGGAGCAGCCACTGCACTCCAGTCTGGGCAACAGAGTGAGACTCCAACTCAAAAAAAAAAAAATGCTATTATAGTCACAACCAATTTTTTTCCCAGCTTGAGAGGTAGCTGGTGGCATGGGGTTTTTGGCAGCCGGGAGAGGATCCATAGACATTCCAAAGTCCACAAAGACCTGTTAGTATGACCTCTGACTAATTTCCAGTGGCTTGTCACTTATGGCTCTGTTCCTGTCATTTCCCATTCATGTACGACCTCTAAGCCTGACATGGTTCTCCTCTTGTCAAAAGTACACTATTAGTCCAGGCACAGTGACTCACCCCAATACTTTAGGAGGCCAAATCAGCAGGATTGCTTGAGCCCAGGAGTTCAAGGCCAGCCTAGGCAACAAAACAAGACTTCACCTCTACAAAAAATTTAGCCAGGTATGTTGATGCATACCTATAGTCCCAGCTACCTGGGAGACTGAGGCAGACAGATCACCTGAGCCCAGGATGTATCAAGGCTGCAGTGAGCGGTAATTGTGCCTCTGCACCTAGGTTTGGGCAGCAGAGTGAGACCTCAACTTGAACAAAAGGTACACTGCTAGAGGAAACCAGGCAGATTAGGGCTTGGAATGTATGCTTGTTGCGTTTCTCCTAGCGTTCTCAGACTCTTTTTGTGGTGCCTGGGTCCTACTTCAGCTACCCATTCTGTTGAATATGTCCAGCCCATAGACATGTGGCATCCTGGGATATGTGGAATATGTCCTGGTGGCATCCTGGCAGGTGGTGGGTGGCCTGGTATACTGCCCTCTCAGGTTGTGACTTACCTGTAAGCATTCAGCCAGTATGTCTGGCCAAGCCTCAACTGAAGGACCATGATCCTGTCCCTGCTTCACCGGAGCAATCCGGTATGCCCTGAGCAATCCACTTAAACTCTCAGGGTCTATAACCTCCTTCTGGGAAATGGGGATTAATACTTGACTCATGTCATCACCATCCCACGCTCCAGGTAATGGTGAAGATTGCTACTAAATTGGAGGGTACTTTTTAACCTTATACCTGATAAGGAATAACTTAAAATATTCATGAGTCTCATTAAGTTAAGGGTTATAATTCTCTTTTTTTTTTTTGAGTTGGAGTCTCACTCCATTGCCCAGGATGGAGTGCAGTGGCATGTTCACGGCTATCCAGTGTCGACCTGCTGGGCTCTGGTGATCCTTCCACTTCAGCCTTCCAAGTAGCCGGAACTATAGGTGAGCGCTACTGCGCCTGGCTAATTTTTGATTTATTGTGAAGACAAGGTCTTGCCAAGTTACCCAGGCTGGTCTCAAACCCACGGGCTCAGGCAATCCACTTACCTCAGCCTCCCAAAGTGCTGGGATTACAGGCTGAGCCACTGAGCCAGGCCAGGTTATAATTCTTAGGTATATTATAATGTATTGTACTATTCTCCAGCAAACCTTTAAAAAGTCAATTTTTAAAAATGTATTTCTGGCCGGACACGCAGCCTCAATCCTAGATCCTAGCACTTTGGGAGGCCAAGGTGAGAGGATTATCTGAGCTCACGCGTTTGAGAGCAGCCTGAGCAACATGGCGAGACCTGTCTCTACAATAAATCAAACAATTAACTAGGCATGGTGGCACATGCCTATAGTTCCAGTTACTTGGAAGGCTGAGGAGAAGGATCGTCTGAGCACAGCAGGCTGACACTGTTGTGGCCAAGAGTGTGCCACTGCCCTCTATCCTGGGTGACAGAGTTGAGACTCTGACTCAAAAAATAAATAAATATTTAAAAAATTAAAAGCCGGGCTTGGTGGCTCAACCTGTAATCCTGCGCTTTGGAAGGCTGAGGTGAGTGAATTGCCTGAGTCTGCAGGTTTGAGACCCCCCTGGGCAACTTGGCAAGACCTCATCTCTACAATAAATCAAAAAATTAGGTGGGCATGGTAGCATGTGCCTGTAGTTCCAGCTACTTGGAAGACTGAGGCGGAAGGATTGCCAGAGCCCAGCAGGTCGAGGCTGCAGTGGCCAGGAGCGGCCACTGCACTCCAGTCTGGGCGACAGAGTGAGACTCCAACTCAAAATAAAAATAAAAATAAAAATTAAATTAAAATTAAAAATGTATTTCTGACTATACCATATTAAGGTCTCTGTCTCCTAATGTGTTGTATATCTTTCAGGTGCACCCTGAAGACCACAAGTTAAATAAATACCATGACTGGCTTTGGGAAAATCATGAAAAATTAAATCTGTCTTAACTTTTAAGTTTTCAAAGTCGTCTTTTATGCATAGCTTTGCACTTTAATTCTTAAGAGTGTCATTAAGCACAACTACTTTTCCAGCCATATAGATTTTAAGTATCCCAGCTAGAAGCCCAGTGTGTTTTTTCTTCATGTGTACCACTAGTGGATCTTTTCTACTGAATGTGCTCAAACATGTTTTGAGATTTTTAAAAAAATAAATTGTTATTTGACAACAATCCTAAAAATGTGTATGACTTTTTCCAATAATGAAATATGATGAGAAGGTAAAAAACACTTTTCTACACTATCAATAATACAAAGCAAATTTCTATCAATGCTGCTGGAGGAAAGACTAGAGTTTCTGTTTTCTGTCTGTGGGAAATGATATTACATAATTGTTATATGAAAAAACAATCAAAGGTTTGCAGCCAAATATGTAATAAAGGTTTTACAGACTGTATTAGGTAGGTAATTATTTAAAATTTTGTATTAAAAACAAAAAAGTCAGCCCCCAAAGACAAATACAATTACTTTGGTATTAGATGTTGCTGACGACTCCACAGTGACTCTTGGGAATTGTAGATTTGACCCCAGTATCCATTTGATGACCTAATGTGAATATTTGCCTGCTGCTTCATTTCAGCTTGCCAGCTCTGGCTCATGCCTTTTACCTTGATCTCATTTATCATCTTCCAGTTGAAGAAACCTTTTAAGTTTTATGTCACTTTTATTACAGGTAATATATATGTTATAGGAGTAGGCAACCAATTCTTGATCAAATCCCCAAAAGTGAATGCCATAAAAGATAAAATAGACAAGCGAGACTTCATCAAACTGAAAAAGCTTTTGTACTGCAAAAGAAACCATCAAGAGAGCGGGGAGACAACCCACAGAATGGAAAAAATATTTGCCAATTATGTATCTGACAAAGGCCTAACATCCAGGATGTACAAGGAACGCAAATGAGCTAAAAAGACAGAAACAATCCTATCAAAAAGTGGACAAAGGACATGAATAGACACTTCTCAAAAGAAAACATACAAGCAGCCAACAGATACATGAAAAGATACTCAATCTCACTAATAATCAGAGAAATGCAAACCAAAGCCACATTGAGATACCACCTAACTCCAGTAAGAGTGGCCCTCATCAATAAATCAAAAAACAATAGATGCTGGCAAGGGTGCAGAGAAAAGGGAACGCTTCTACACTGTTTTTGGGAGTATAGGCTAGTTCAACCTCTATGTAAAGCAGTGTGGTGATTCCTAAAAGAATTAAAAATTAACCTTCCAGCCGGGCTCGGTGGCTCAGCCTATAATCCCGTGCCTTTGGGAAGCTGAGGCGAGTGGATTGCCTGAGCTCGTGGGTTCGAGACCCACCTGGGCAACTTGGCAAGACCTCATTTCTACAATAAATAAAAAATTAGCTGGGCATGGTAGCGCGCGCCTGTAGTTCCAGCTACTCGGAAGGCTGAGGCGGAAGGATCACCGGAGCCCAGCAGGTTGAGGCTGCGGTGGCCGGGAGCGGCCACTGCACTCCAGTCTGGGTGACAGAGTGAGACTCCAACTCAAAAACAAAACAAAACAAAACAAAACAAAAATTGACCTTCCATACCATCCAGCAATACCTCTCCTGGGAATATAGCTGGAGGAACATAAATTGTTCTACAAAAAAGGCCCCTGCACATGCACCTTTACAACTTTGCTATTCACAGTAGCAAAAACATGGAACCAACCCCACTGCCCATCAAAAGTGGACTGGATAAAGAAAATGTGGTGCATATACGTGATGGAGTATTATGCAGCCATAAAGAAGAACAAAATCATGGACTTCGCAGCAAACTGTATAGCGTTGGAGACCATCATACTTAATGAACTATCACAGAAACAAAGAACTGAATACTACACGGTCTCACTCATAAGTGGGCCTTGAACACTAGTCTCTGCCACACAAGGGAGGAAGCGGCAACCACTAGGCACTGCTAGGAAAGGAAGCGGGTGGGCATGTGAAAACACAAAGGGTACCTGGTCCTAAACCAGGAGAAGTGAGGGCCGGCTGGAGGCCTAAACTTTACCTGCACGCAGCCTACTTGTGTACTCAACCCTTACGTGCACCCACATCTCTATAATAAAATAACAAAAAAAGAAAACACTAAAACATTTACCTTGGGAATAATTCATCAAACAAAAAAAATCTCAAGTTTTAATTACCAATTACTAAGATATAATTTGAAAATGAAACTAAGTGAAAAATAAATTGTTCAGGAGTTGTAGGGTAATGTGTGAACAGAACCTGGCTGCAGTATGATGCAGGGCTAGTTGGTAGTTTCTACTTTAGTGAGCAAGGGGTGGATTTTGACCAAAGAACAGGAACTGGCCACACCTCTCCCTCCCCAAGGCAAACATCCACTTTGTAGTTTCCTATCAGGTTTTCATGTAACAAACAAGAAGGTAACAAAGGGTTTAGGCCACAGCTAGGGTGCTCAGGTTCTAGGCAGACTTTTCTCCTTTCTTGCAGGTAAGGTTACCGGACCTCTACCTGTTTCCTCATCTTTTTAAAATGGGAATAATGGTGCCTACCTCATGCAGTTATTGTGATTTTGAAGTTTAGACATGTAAGTGTTTAAATGGTGCCTGGCTTGCAAGAGTGCTATGTTTTTTTGGTTTTCTGTTTTTTGTTTTTGTTGAGTCAGTTTCACTCTTGCCCAGGCTGGAGTGCAGGGGCACCCTCACTGCCGCCGCAGCCTCGACCTCTGAGTTCAAGTGATCCTTCTGCTTCAGCTTTCTGAGTAGCTGGAACTACATGCGCATGCCACCATGCCCAGCTAATTATTTATTTTTTTGTAGAGAAGGTGCTCAGGCTGGTCTCAAACCTATGGGCTCAGGTAATCCTCTTGCCTCTGCCTCCCAAAGTGCTGGGACTACAAGTGTGAGCCACTGCACCTGAATAGGAGTGCTTTGTTAATGCGGCCTGTGGGGAGGGTCTGAGTGACTGCCTCAGGTTGTGAGGGATAGCTCATGTAAAGGCAGTGCCTAGCACAATTTAACCACATAAGTGGTTTTTTTTTTTTTTGCTTCTTTTTTTATTAAGATAAAAATCACCATTTAACCATCCTTTTTTTTTTGAGTTGGAGTCTCACTCTGTCACTCAGACTGGAGTGCAGTGACTGCTCCTGGCCACCGCGGCCTCAACCTGCCGGGCTCCGGCGATCCTTCCGCTTCAGCCTTCCAAGTAGCTGGAACTACAGGAGCGCGCTGCCACGCCTGGCTAATTTTTTTTTTTATTTATTGTAGAGATGAGGTCTCACCAAGTTGCCCAGGCGGGTCTCGAACCCGTGGGCTCAGGCAATCCACTCACCTCAGCCTCCCAAAGCGCGGGATTACAGGCTGAGCCACCGAGCCCGGCTATAACCATCTTAAAGTGTACAGTTCTGTGGTTTTTAGTGAATTTACAATGCTGTGCAATCATCACTAATTCCACAACATTTCCATCACTCCAAAAACCAATCCCCTGCCTCTTAGCAGGGCCCTTCCAGTTCTCTCCTTCTATTTTCTGACAACCACTAACCTACTTTCTGTGTCTGTAGATTTATTCTGGGTATTTCATGTGCATAGAATTATGTAGCGTGTGGCCTTTTGTGTCTGATTTCTTCCATTTAGCCATACTGTTTTGAAGGCTCATCCTTGTAGCCTGTGTCAGTGCTTAATCCCTTCTAATGGTCACTGTATGGCTATACCACGTTTTATAAGTTGATGCAAATTTCAAGGGCTTTTTATTAAAACTCTGGTTCTCAGGTTCTGTAATTCCCAACCATGGCACCCTGTCCAAAGGGGGCAAAGCATATCAAATACCCTGCCTCTATTTAGCCAAGATTCACCTGAGTTCTTATGCACCGCTGCAGGAGAAAGGGCCTGGTCTTCAGAAGAAAAAAACTGAGGCCTAAAGATAGGGAGTCCTGCTGAAGATCCTGCAGTCCTCGGGAAAACCGGGGATTTATGACATCAGATTTAGGGGCCATTTGGCCAAACGAAGAAACCCTGCCTCTCACCAGGCCCAGAACTGGGCACGCTAGGATTTGCTTGCGGGCCCTCCCAGTACTTGGCGAAAGGCGCTGGAAGGCAGCAAGCGGCCGGCCGTTCAGGGCGGGCCCGCGCTCCGCCGGCCTCCCGGCACGTGGCAACGCTCAGCCCGGCGGCGCGGGGCGTCCGTCGTCATAGCAACAGGTTGCTGCTATGGGCGGAGGGCCCCTAGCGAGGCTTGGAGTTGGTTTTCTGGGACTCCGCCACCCCGCGCAAGCGAGCACGGTAGACACGCACACCCTTCGGCACTCTCTCCCAGACCGCGACCGCGGACGGGTCCTGTGAAATGCACAAGAATCTGTTCTGGAAGCTGCTCGGTAAGTCCCGGGAAGCGGTGCCGTCTGCAGGAAGCCCTCAGCGCCCCCCCCCCCGACGCGTGAAAGGGCTTACTATGCATGAGGGCAAACCTCATTGTGCCGTTCCCCTCCGGATGAGGCGTTGCCAGGGAGTCTGGGGCAGGTCGTGCACATTTCTGAGATTTCCACGCCTGTAAGCCAAGTTGCCTTGGCGTGGAACCAGCGTCCCGAGCCATGTGTCTGGGCCCTCCAGCTTGCCCTCGTTCTCCAAGGAACATTAATGTCTTCGGTACTGGAGGTGAGGCACAGAGAAGACTTCCGGCTTTAAGGTTTTAGTCACAATGTGCTGGGGACCATGTTCTTGGCAAATCGCTGCAGTTTCAGAGGTAAAGGACAGAGATGAATGGATAATTAAAGAATCAGGAGTGAATGCTGGGGTCCAGGGTGTCACCTAGGAGTCAGAGGTGTGCTGAGGGTATGGAAAGGGAAGGGCTCCTGGAAAAGATCTTTCCCCTGGGGCTTAAAGAATCAAAAGGGAATCTCCAAACCAGAGAGGAAAGGAAAAGCGTTTTAGGCAAGGAAACAGCAAGCACAGAGGCTCAGAGATTTTGTGTCTTCAGGAACCTGCGGGTAGTTTGAGTGTCTCTGGAAATGAGGTGGGAGAGGTCAGAACATGATCATGAAAGACCTGGTAAACCAGGAGATGGAGAAGCTACTGGGAGTGACAGAATTGGATTGGGAACAGTCAACAAAGGCTGAGACTGAATGTGGGGTGTGGGGAGATGAGATCTGGGCTGTCAAGCTTGAAGACTGAAGGTCTTCTCCATGCCTCTTCTCCAGTCCTGGACACATTAATGTCCAGTGGAGAAATAGGGTGAGCCTGAGTGCCTGACCATGTTGTCCAGGCCCACAGGTAGATGATGGGAGGTGAGGGAGATGGCCCAGGCCAGAGGCAACTACCGGAACTTGGGAGCTTGGTCAGGGAACACAAAATAAGCAAATAAAGATGATGCTCAGATTGGCAGCTAGGGGGACCTGGTAGATGGAGGTGCCCTTCACAGAGACAGAGAATGTGCCCAAAGGACCCAGATAGGTGGAGGCAGGGGTATGGAGACAAATCCTGTCTTGGCTGTAAGCCATCCATGTGGAAATGTTTTAGGAGCAACTGGATGGATAAAATTGGAGCTAATTCCACGTCATACATATTGACTGGTATGGGTGTCCTTAGCAGATAGAGGGTCATAGAAATATGAGAGTGGAGGAAATGATATTTAAAAAAAAAAAAAAAAAAAAGAAAGGAAGACAGTGCAGCTGGAATTGAGTTGGGGGGCAGTGGAGGGAGGAGATGAGGAAGAGGGGAGCAGGACTCAGCAGGAGGGGGTATTTGTTCTCAAAACTCTAGGAAACCATTGAAGGGTTTCACATGGGGGAGTGACAAAATCTGCTTTTTTTTTGAGTTGGAGTCTCACTCTGTCACCCAGACTGGAGTGCAGTGGCCGC